TCAACAAAAATCATTGTTAAAATAGTTATAAAATCATTAGTGAACATAAAATGAGTCCTAACCAATGCCACAGGATGCAGCTTACTGTGTTTACATATGCAGTCATCTTGTGGACTGTTAAAGTTTAAAAAAAGTAAAATTCTTGTCTGTTATCTGTGTATTTTTTATTATGTAGCCTCCACTGAGAAAAAAATTGATATTGAAGCCATCAAGGAAAAGGTAAAGAATGCAAAAAAGAAGAAATTAGGTGCACTTCCTGTGGAAGAAGTCAAGTTAAAAATGGCAGCAGATGAAAAGAAAAAAAAGAACAAGAAGTAATTCACCACCCGAAATGCTCACTTTTCTCCCACATTAATGAACATTTTTCACACTTGGAAGATTTGAGACTTCTTGCTGTCAGTATAATGTGGACAAGAAAAGACTAGGTAGAAAGATCATTCTCTTTTCATAAGTACACTTTAATTAGTGGACCTGAAGCAGCTGTGCAAAATTGCCAAGGTCGGTGAAGAAAATCTGTGCTGCAATGTTGTTTGAGAAGGTAAGAGTGTATTTGGATGATATCCGTTTGCCTAGAGGGAAGGTTTCATAATAGAAACATTTAGGAGTTTGATGCAGGATGTTAAACATTAGGGTCAGAGAATTCGGTGGCAGTTTAAGGTAATTCTCCTGTGAAAGACTACCAGACTATATGCAGCCTCAGTTATGGTGACAACTTTTGCAAAATGGGCAAGATTTATTACTATATGATGCTTTTGTTTCTGTAAAAGCTGATTATTTTTTGCATGTCTTGTCTTGGTGTTAATAAACTATTTTAATACATTGTTCTTAAATCCTTTAATTAGTCCTCTACTGCACAGCCTACATGTTGTTTTCCAGGAAACAAGCTCACGGCTTCATGTGAGAATTACACAAACCATAATCTTAACTGAATGCCATTAATAAACCGTCATTTATTAGCGTTATCCTGGAGGTTATTAGGCAGAATGTGATACAAAGCAAGTGTCTTTCCACATGGAATGTGCTGCAGGGAAAGCGTAATGTCTTGTTACCTTTCTTTAAGTATATTCTTAATTTATTTCTTGCTTGCAAGAAGGTCAATTGTGTTCCTCTTTTTTTTTTTTCTTCTTTTTTTTTTTTTTGAAGCCTTTCGCCTTTTTTAAAGGAAGTCTAGAGGTTTTTAGTTTCCTGAAAATGCAAATTGTGATGAAATAAAGTTCACTGGAAGAGCAGATGTTGCTTATTTCACACATCTGAGATTAAAGAAACAAATGTAATGATTAGGAGGTGGTAGAGCCACACCAACTTCATGAGCACATACAGTGGAAATAATTGTGGTAGAACATTGCAACTCTCTGCTTCTAGGTTAGTGACCTTTTGTTTGAAACTAGTAAGTGAAAACACAGCCATTTCCTTTTTTGCATATATAAGAATTCAGAACGTATGTGGTTAAATAGCCAGTACGTGTGCGTTGAGAAATAGCTAAGATGCTTGCCCTTTAGGGTGGGGGACAACATGAGGCTTGGTGTGCCTTTCAGTTATGTGATCACTTCTTGGCACTTAATTGTTAAGGAAAAAACACTCTCAATCCTTTTAGGGCCTGCATTGTTCATGAATGGCATTTTAATTACTTGTAGAATCAATCGGGAAAATACTACTTCAACAGGTACTTCACTGAGAATGTGATCAGTAAGTCACGAACACCCATCTCAGAAACTGTAGTGAGCTGATGGGTTTAGTCATACCAGCACCATGAAAAGCTTTTTAGAAACACCAACTGGTGGTTTAGCAGTTGACGGTGTACAGGGGTGACCTAAGTTCAGTACCAGTCAGGTAGTGAACCTTTGTCATATAGTGAAAGGTCTAATTTCAACAGGAGGCACTGCAATACTTGAGTTTAAATGCCTGTTCTCACAGTGTGATCCAACGAATAAGTGCTTCAACAGAAGAGTCTGCAGAGCTAGAAGCCAGTAAGGAGGAGCCTGACTGTAGCCAGGGAAGGAGCATGTGTGTATTAGGTGAGGGAGAGTCCTTGGTTCTAATCTAGACTGGATGAGGCCCCTTTCACTGCAGAGGACTGGCATAGGTGTTCCCCTGTTTGTTGTTTAAAAAGTTAAAAACAAGTGTGGGGCTGGTTGCCCTACACTGCTCTTCCAGGCTGGCATTTCATTTCAGGAACCTGATCTAGCTGAAAGCACCCTACAAGAAAGCATTTTCCAGCTGCATCAGCTAACTGCCTGGTTGCCTGAGTTGCAGTGCAGGAAAACATAGCTCAGCTTGGTGGCAGACTTCAGGGAGTCTTGTCCTTCTGTTGTTATGGAGTGAAAAGGCTTCACATTGTATTTAATTTTCCCAGTTGTTATGGTTGACAGGTCTCAAAGATTGTTGGTTGGACATTTATTTACTTAAACTGGAAAATCAAGAAAGCCTACTCAAATTCCTGTATGCAAGTTAAACCAGATACGGCTTGGAGTCCGTATCTGAATGGTAACTGGCTGCATGGGCTCACTGTTGGTGCTTTTTGCACCTGTTTTCTCAGAGAATATGGCTATACAGTTCTAACACTTGTATAAAAAGTAAAGAATAGAAAACAAAGTGGATTTGGAAGGGTGAAAAAGGTTTTTTTGTATTTTCAGAACAGCTTGAACTATTGCAGATTATCTCCTTAAACTGATTTTAGAGTTTACAGACTTGCAAAAAAGTACCCGAAGGCTGTATTTATATATCAGTGTTTTGCATTTATCATATGGAATTCATGGGCATATGCCGTCAGATAAATGTGGACAACTCAAAGTGGTTTGATCATCAGGAGTTAAATATCTGCATTTTTGGATGTTTTTAAAATGAGATGCAGTACTTGTTTAGCTTTGACTTCTTGACTTTCAGGCTTTTTTTGTTTGAAAGATACCATGTTTTAAAGTTTTGGGTTTTTTTTTCCCCTAAGCCCCTGTGATTTACAGGGTTTTTAATGAAGCTTTTTCTATGGTATTTCCTTAGAGCTGCTGAAGTATATAGTTAAATGACAGTGCTGTGAATGTTTTGAACTTTAAGGGCTTTGTGTTCGTTCTGTTTACTCTCCTGGAGACCAAGCACAGATTAAACTAAGCAGGGGAG